TAGCATTCAACCTTTTTCACTATCATGTTCTAGCCACTTAATTAGAAAATGAAATTCAAACACATTTTCTTTTATATATTTTAAAATATGTTTTATTGACCTTTTGTAATTTCTTTTTTTATTATTATTACAAGTTCTAGACAGGGAACTAGAAATAAGAACAGGGCAATTTTCAAATGTTCATGTGAGAGTCCATTGGAATTTCTTGACAAGGGCTTCCAAAAGCATCCCTCTATTGGGTTCCTCCTCATTTTTCTTTTGTCTTCCAAGGCTGGGAAGTTGGCTGGATACTCAGTATGAAATTCTCAATAAAGTTTTTGTAAAAGTTAAAATAAAACCGGATGTAGTAGGCAGGCCCTAACCCTGGGGAAGGGGAGAAAGCTGGGTCCCCGGAGCACACAGCACAACTGTCCAGCCTACTCAAGTAGGTAAATTCCATGCCATTAAGAGGCTCTGTCTCAAGAAATGAGGTGATTGGCTTCTGAGACATAACACCTGACCTCCACACAGACCTGCACACATACTCAAGTGCACACATATATAAACACACATATACACACTAGCACACACATACATACAGATACTAAAGGGCTGGTGACGTAGCTGTCATAGAGTACTTGTGTACCGTGCCCAAGGTCCTGGATTCTTCCCCCAGCACTGAAAAAAAAATGTATTACCACAATCATATTTTCAGATTTCTCTGGAATACAACAGTTCATTTGTAAAGACTACTTATGTCCAACTCTACAAAGTAATGTGGAATTACTTTCCAAAATGATAGTTGCAATGTATCATACACACACGCACGCGCACTCGCGCACACACTCAATTAATTCTGGATGTAAATTATTTCACTATCTAAAAAAGTATAATAACACTGACTTCTCAGCTATGCTGAAGAGCACTCATATCATTTAGGAAAAGGCTTTTTTTTTTTTTTTTTGGTCTTTTTGAGACAGGGTCTCCCTGTAGCCCCAGCTGGCCTGGAACTCACTATGTAGAGCAGGCTGGCCTGGAACTCACTATGTAGAGCAGGCTGGTCTTCATCTCACAGAGATTCATCTGCCTCTGCCTTCGCAGTCCTGGGATAGGTGGCCTGGCCTAAGAAGAGATTTTTAAAACGACTTGTTTGCTAATAGCAGTGATCTCAAAAAAGACCACATACACATCAAAACTACCTAAGAGCTCTGCAGCCGCTAACACAGTGCTGCGCTCATTCCTAACTACGTGTTATGTTTTGTGATGCCAGGTAGCCAGCACATGCGCCTGACAGGATAGATTTTGTTTGTGATATTACCTAAACTCTGTCTTTCCTCAGAACGTACAATAAAATGTGGCACCAGACCCAAGAAGCCTTCAGTTCTTTGCTCGACAAAGACTCTCAGATGATGACGGAAGCACAGAAGGACAAGGCTTTCGTCTTCCAGATGTTGGCCACCTTCTACATAAAGTATGTGCAGATCTTCAGAAACATGGAGAACGTCTATGACCAGATGGTCCATCCACAGAAACGCATGCTGATCCGCAAGATCCTGGACGGAGTGATGGGTCGCATTCTGGAACTGAAGAATGAGATGGTTGAATTGGAATTAACTGAGTTCCATTACTTTGATGATATTTTACAGGACCTGAAGTTGGCTCCCGTAAGTACTTGGTTATCGCCTTTCCTTACGCGGTCCTTGTTGTATAGAAGGTGCACATATTTGTGTCCAGTTGTCTGCAGATTTTCCAGTTGCCTTTACTTGTGACTGGCTTGTTGGATTCAAAGTCTGAACATTGTCTTCAATTCTACTTCACCATAAAGGAGAAGGATCCAGATGCTTCCTTTTTGATGCAGGGCAATCTTTGCGTGGCGCTTGGTTGGGTCTGTTTGGCACCGAAGTCTAGTTACCAGATGTCACACTGTCTGCCCAGATGTTAGAATGGAGTAGACAGACCCTCTATCAATATCCTACACCCCAAAGCCTCCCTTTTCCCAGGGTCATGCCCTCTGTTCTCTGAGTCCATAGGTGTCCCCCTGCTTTCTGTGACCCGTCATCCCATCACTTGGATGGTAACCTGTGCATGGATGAATCAATATGCTCAGGTGGATGAATCTCCTTTGTTTTGGCTTAGTGATGACCCAGTGGGTTTCTAGCTATAGCATTTGTATGTTAGAAACCTCAGAAGGCAGTGTCCCTCCTTTCTCTCCTCTGGCTCCTAGTGACCTGGACATCCTCCTGTGGGTGCTCAGCCCCTGCCACCAACATCCCCTCACTGCCAGACACCCACCTGCAGTTTCTTGAAATATCCTGTCCAGCTGGGCCTCTGTTGGACACCTCATTTCTTAGGGGATGTAGGTCCCAGGAGCTCACGCTTCATTTCAAAAGGAATGTTTCCCTCAAGTAATGTTGGAAAGACAAAATGTTTTTACATAGAGTTTAATGTTTCATCACTTTGAAAGTATTCTGAGTCTTGTAAAGGTCAAGTCTCTTTCTGGGGCGGACTCTCCTAGTATTGTTACTCGATTACATCAGAAGGGACTAAAGAGAATAACTGATCATTCCAAAGTTTGCATATGTATTTCATACATTTATAAGAACATGAGTTCAACCCCCAGATTTATTCAGGTGTGTATGACTCACCAGTGTGAAAATACGATGATTGGTCTGAACCAAAATGACCATTGGATTATATTCCTAAATTCAATTAGAAGGCGACAGTCAATGCATAAATCTAATTTCGAGGCTAGTAAATGATTAAGGACTAGAGAGTTTATGGGATTCGTGGGCTGGGCTCCCCTTGGCTCCCCTCTACTCACACGGTCCTGTGCTTTGGCTCCTCGTCTTCCTCAGACCAGGAATGGTTGACCTTGTGAGAAGCTGCTGTGTGCGGGGAGGGCAACGGAGCAGATGGCACCTGGGAAGTGTGTGTGGCAGGGGAACAGCAACAGAGTTTACTACAGCACTGGAACATGTGCTGCAAGTGGCGGGGAGGCTGATCCAGCACTGACAGTCTGGGGTTCCATGAACACTGCCCCGACTGAGGAGCCAGCCTCGAGAACTTCCCTGTGTCTCAGGATGGACCAGATGAGCCAATGGCCTCTGCATTTAACCACTGTGGCCATTCCCCAACGAAGTCCACAGCTCCCCACTGGAGTGCTGGCTAGCGGCCAGCTGTTTGTACAGTAGGACCTGTGTCTTGACCACAGAGACTGGTCCAGGGGAGGTCACCTGGGAGGATGCACCAGTCAGACCCTCCCTGGGAGGTTCTGAAATCAGAACAGAGAACAAAGATCAGCTTCTGTCTTGGGTCTCCATGGCGGTCGTTGGAACTTTATTAACCAGAAGCCCTGAGGAGTGGAAGGCATGGCTCCATCCCTATCCCAAGCCATGGTTCCATAGCTCCGCAGCGTGCTTCCTGTGTGGGTGCTGGGGGTTTGAGCTCGAGTCCTTGTGTCTGCACTGCAAGCACTCTAACCCACTGAGCCACCTTCCTAGCACCGTCCTGAAAGCTTTTCTCTTTGACCTGCTCATCCTGTGTATTCTAAGTGGATTTGAGTCCTGGGATCTTAACAGAATGGTGTTTGCTTATTCTTTCTCTTCTGCAGCAACAGTTAGATGTCCCCATACCCAAGTATTTTTTGAAGGAAAGGTTGGAAGTCATAAAAGGAAGAGAGAAGATCCTCGCTCAGATCTTAACTGAATGTGGACTAAACGTTCCTAATGTGGTTTGTATCATTTTAACAAACCCTTTCCTTATCTGTGTAAGTCCCTTGCTCCGTGGCCCCTGATTGTGTGAGAAAAAAGCTGCATTATTCTCAAGTTGAAGAAAGCATCTCCCCTCCCCCTGACCATATGCAATATATGAGGTTACATAACTGCAGGGTGGGTTTGGGTAATATGTCATCAGCAAATCATAGTGCTTTACAGGTTACGTTGGGGATTTCTAAGAATGAGCCAGTTATCAGCTGGGTTTAATTTTTCATGTCTGATTCACATAGCTAAAGTCAGAAATTAAGTGTTCATATGAAATAGCTAAATGCCCACATTAAGTTACTCCAAACTTGAAATTTACTGTGTGTTCCCAAATGCCCCCCCAACACACCTTTTGGAAAATTCTAGCTGGGGAGAGAGGACTCAGTGGTTTAAAGCGCTGGCTACTGTTGCAGAGGACCTGGGTTTGGTTCCCAGCACCCACATGGCATCTAACAACTATCCATAACTCCAGTTCCAAGGGATCTGATGCCCTCTTCTGACCCCTGCTGGTGTTGAACACCATGTTGAACATGTGTGCACTTACACACATGCAGGTGATACACTTGTATACATAAAATAAAAGTAATAAAAATATTTTAAAATTGTAGCTGAGGGGCTGGAGAGACGGCTCAGTGGTTGCTCTTGCAGAAGAGCCGGGTTCAAATCCCAGCACCCACATGGCAGCTAACAACTGTCCCAGGGGATCCAACAGCCTCTCCTGCCCTCCGTGGGCATTGCATGACACAGGTGCACTTACCTACATGCAGGCA